TGGAGTTACAGTTTCAGCCACCATGTGGGTGCTGGGAATCAAACCTGGGTTCTCAACAGGAGCAGTCAGTGCTCTCAACCACTGAGCCATCTCTCAGGTCCTCCCTTGAATCTACTTTTTTTTTTTTTTTTTGTCTCTTTGAGACCGGCTCTCCTTGTACATAGCCCCAACTGTCCTGGAACTCACTAGGTAGGCGGGATTAAAGGCATGTACCACCATGCCCAGTTTTGAATCTACTTCTTAAATTGAATCTACTTCCCTAATAACTTCTCTTCATATGTACTTTTATGATTTGCTTCTACAAAATCTAGAGACAGCCCTTACTTTGTAACCCACTTTCGTTTTTGAATCTTGGATGGGTAGTGAGCAGGCTAGACCCTGCCTGGCCTTCTAACACACCTGAGGCCAGAACTTAAACTCTGAGCTTTGGTGACTCACCTATAGAACAACAGGGCTGGACAGCTCTCTGAGGTCCTTCCCAGGAGTATGTGCCATAGTGCTATGAATAGCAAAAGTTGGCTAATCTAAGAAGGTGATGTTTTGGTTCTAAAGGTTGAAAGTGAATCCTAACTAGAGTCATTTCCATCTCTTAAAGGACATCTTGGAAGTTTGGGGACATCTTTTTGGTGGTCATAATTATGACAGGTTTTATCCTTAAATCCCATCTCACTTTGCAGGAATAAAGGGGGCATTAACAAGTAATAAATATACAAAAAGGAACATAGGGGCTGGAGAGATGACTCAGCGGTTAAGAGCACAGACTGCTCTTGCAGAGGACCTGGGTTCGATTCCCAGCACCCACATGGCAGCGACGAACTGTCTTTAACTCCAGTTTCAAGGGAATCTGAAGTCTTCTTCTAACCTCCTCTGGCATTGCATGACACGGGTGCACTCACATACATGCAGGCAATACACTCATACACATAAAATAAAAATAATTTTAAAAAAAAGGAACATAGGGCTGGATAAAGTTGAAATCCTCTTATGTAAAGGGTAGCTAAGGAGAACACTAGTAACACTTTATTATAAGATAATCACCATGATATTGGGCTGCTCGATTCTGGTTTGAAAAACAAAGGATGAAGGGATTCCTTTCCCTTATGTTGCAGTGTGAGACCATATGGCTGAAAGCAGGACAGAAGTATGGATTGTATGTCATTACAACTTAGAACACATCCTGCCAGGCCCTTCAATCCTGGACATTCTTAGCTCTCTAGCATGGAAGGCCTCTGGCGACTCTTGCTTGGGTGTGCTGGGCTGGCTGGCCTTCTGCTGGCCATCTGACCTTTGTTTACTTCTGCTAGTTGCAAAATATCGTGTGTTCACAGGATGTCTTTGTTGCCTGGTACATTCCTCCACCCTGTCTGAACCCAGTGTTGGGAGGTGTCTGCGGTGGTCTCCTTAAAGTATGTGCCTTTAAACTATTTGGCAGTGCTACCCAGAGCCCTTGGGGAATCACAATAACAGACCAGTCTCATTCTCTTCTAGAGGCTATTATCAACAATAATACTGTTTTCCATTTTGTTTACTTTGTTTTGTTTGATTTTGAGACAAAGTCTAACTCTTAGCCCAGGCTGGACTCAAAAATTTCATAACAATCCTCCTGCCTCAGCCTCCCAAAAGTGCTGGGATTAAGGTATGCACCTCGACGCCCAGTTTAATAACAATAATATTATATAAATAGTATTTATTTTCAGAAGAAAGATGGTAATAATGGGTTTTACTAGCACATAACCCGTATTGGGCCCTGTGTTAAGTTTGTAATGCTCACAAGAATGCTGTGGTTGTTAGAGCTTTAATTTCACATGGCAAAGGATAAAAGAGTTAAGCTTCTTGCTAAGGTTCCACAGCTGCTGAGTGGTAGGGCAAGGTTTGCACACGCAGCTCAAACCATTCGGTATGGGGAGGTGGTACAGTTTTCAAATTTCTTTTTTTAAAAGCTCTTGCCTTCCCTCTCCCCTCCACCTTCTCTTTCTTTTTCTTTCCTTCTTGTTTTTTTTTTTTTAAAAACAAGGTCTCATGTGTCCCAGGCTGGCCCCAAACTTGCTAGCTGAGGACAACTTTTTGTTTTGTTTTGTTTATCTTTGTTTTTTGTCTTTTTGAGACAGTCTCCCTGTAGCCCCAGCTGGCCTGGAACTCACTATGGAGACCAGACTGGCCTTGAACTCACAGAGATCCATCTGCCTCTGCCTCCCAAGTCCTAGAATCAAAGGTGTGCGCCACCACACCCGGCTGAGGATGACTTTTAATTTCTGATCCTCCTACCTTCACGTCTCATGTGCTGGGATGCTGGAATTACCGGTGTATACTGCCACATCCAGTTTTTGAGGTACCAGGGATGGAATCCAGGACTTCATGCATACTAGACAAGCACTGTGTTAACTGACCTACATCCCTATCCCAGAACTCTGATTATGTGTTTTCCAATTAAGAAGAAAAAAGATAAGCTGGTTTGGTGCTGCACTCTTCTAATCCCAGCACTTGGGAGGCAGAGGCAGGTGGATCTCTTATGAGATTGAGGTCAGCCTGGTTTACATAGCAAGCTCCAGGCCAGCTGGGGCTACAGGGAGACCCCATCTCAAAAAAGTCATACACATACACACACACAAATAAAATTGAATAAAATATTTTTGTTTTTTGGGTTTTTTTTTTGGTCTTTTTGAGACAGGGTCTCCCTGTAGCCCTGGCTGGCCTGGATTCGCTACGGAGACCAGGGTGGTCTCGAACTCACAGGGATCTGCCTGCCTCTGCCTCCCGAGTGCTGGGATTAAAGGCGTGTGCCACCACGCCTGGCTTGAATAAAATATTTTTAAAGGAAAATAAAAACATAACGAATCCTAAAAGGGCAGACAGATTGAAAAAAAAATACAGAAATGTAAAGGATTTAGGGTACAGTGAAACGGTAAAGAAGCATATGTAGCTGGCATGTGGGAAAGAGAGAAGAGAGATGGGAGCAGAAACAAATCAGCCAAAGGTCTATGACATGTCAGAAACTCACAGAAGAGTTACTGTTGTTTCCGGGCCATGGGCATCGTGGTGGAGGGCTTCCCAACCTTTCAGCCAGCTGAAGAATGCCAGTCAAGGTCAGGAGAAAATCATCAGTCTCCTGAGGATTTGCTGCCTGGTTCCTGTCACAGGCATCTTTTTTCCTCTGTAGAAGTTCAGGGCTACAAAGCCTGTGCATTCCAGTCAGAAGGTTGGCAGCTTGATCAATGATTTCCTGTGCCTTGATGATAAATGGTTTTCCAATTTAAAAGATAAATTTATATTTTGAAGGTTCAGCGCCCTTTGATTTCTTAATAATAGAGCCTTTCAAATTTGTTTCCTAACTGTGACATGTTCCAGGGCTCTTGGCCAAAGCAAATTCTGCTAATAAGAAATAACAAAAATGACAGAGGAAAATCATGTGCTCCTTAACTTAAGCGATGGTTGAGACCTCTGAGAACATCTAGGCCAGGCTTCTCACTCTACAGATCAGGAAGTGGGGTCCCGGGAGAGAGGAAGGAGCTCGCTCAGGATCATGTTGCCGCTTCTGGCTTTTTTCACTGAAAGGACCTTCGCTGCAGGCTGCAAGGAGAGCATCTATGATTTTTCCAAGACGTCAGGTTAAAAACTTGTCAAGACAAACTTCCAGTTCATGATGAACTTACAGATTGCCAAGAAATATTTATACTATTAGAATTTTTTTTTCCCCCACAAAGTGTTGGAAGGCTTATAGTTTATTAATGGTCTCTGATTTTCTCTTAAAAGGCATGTACATTCACCTGGTAGACTAGGGCTTGGTAAACTATGTACTTGGGAATAGATGGGCCCTGTTTTTTTTTTAATTAGTTTTTTTTTTTTTTTTTTTTTTTTTTTAAGACAGGGTCTCCCTGTACTCCCAGCTGGTCTGGAACTCACTCTGTAGACCAGGCTGGCCTTGCTCTCACAGAGATCTTCCCGCCTCTGCTTCCTGAGTGCTGGGATTAAAGGCGTGCACCACCACACTCAGCCCCACATTTTTTGCAAATCAAGTTTTATTGGCACACACGCGTGCTCTTTTCTTTTTTCTTTAGTGTTTTCTTTATTATTTTTTATTTTATCTGTATGAGTGGTTTGCCTGTATGTGTGTAAGTGCACCATGTGCATGGAATGCCCTGGCTAGAAGAGGGCGTTGGATCCCCTAGAACTGGAGTTATGAATGGTTGTCAGCTGCCAGGTAAATGCGGGGAATCAAACCTGGGTCCTCTGGAAAAACAGCAAGTGCTCTTAACCACTGAGTCCTCTTTCCAGCCTGGTATGCTCCTTTCTGAACTCACCCTCATAATGGCAGAGTTGAGTAGCTGCAGCTAAGAGCATAGGACCTACAAAGTCTAAAATCCTTCTGGCCCTTTACAGAATTTCTCTCTCTCTCTCTCTCTCTCTCTCTCTCTCTCTCTCTCTCTCTCTCTTTCTCTTCTTCTTCTTCTTCATCTTCTTTTTTTTCTTTTTTTGAGATAGGATCTCAAAACTTGCTAGTCTTGAACTCCTGATCTTCCTACCTCTGCCTTTCATGTGCTGGGGTCACTGACATGTGCCATCTTGCCTGTCTTACAGAAATGTGTGTCAAGCCCTGCTGAAGAAGATCTAAAGACATACAGGAAAATAAGGCCAGGGAAATCGTTATCCGAGTCTCACACTCAGAGGCTTAGCCTGACTGTGGCTTTACCATTCTCAAAGCTAAATGTCTTAAAAGTCTCTGATTTCTCAAGAATCAACTTCTAGAAGCAGAGTGAGAGTGAATGGCTTTTAGATCTTTGGTTCACTTGTGAGCTAAAGGTATTGATGCAGAATTTCTTTTCAGCTTGCATAAACAGAGGTGGCTGTACTTTGTCAACATTTACAAACGAGCTGGGAATATATTGCAGTGGTTAAAGGGCTTGCCCAGCATGCATAGAGCTCTGGGTTCAGTCCTCAGCATGGGGTGGGAGAAACACATTAAAAAATAAATGAATAACTTGGTTTTGCATCTGTGGATTCAGGGGCAGGTTCAAGGCAGTGGTATGTGTCCTGTCTGCAGTTACAACATGCCTGGCGTTTGTCAAGCCTGCCATCAACAACATCTCTCTGATGACCCTGGGTGTTCCATGCACTGCACTGCTCGTTGCAGAGCTCAGGAGGTGGGTGCCATTTCTCCTGTGCTTTGCTGCCTGGAAAACCATTTTCCTCTGGGAAGCTGTAGGTTCATATTCAGAAACATTTTATTTTAGCTTTTATATGTGGGTCTTCTAGCCCCAACTAAAATACATACAGTCACGGTTTTTATTTTAATATTTGCTGAAAACATTCAGTTTTCAGTTGCAGTTACTTTAAGGTTTTTATTTTATGTGTGTGAGTGTTTTGCCTGCATGTATATATTTGCATATATGCATGCATGCCTAGTACTGTGGATGCCAGGGGACGGCAGAACTAGTGTTAGTGACAGTTGTTTCTTTTTTTGTTTTTGTGACAGTGTCTCCCTGTAGCCCCCAACTGGCCTGGAATTTGCTATGTAGACCAGGTTGGCCTTGAACTCACATGCCACTGCACCCGGCTGAGTTAGTGACAGTCACTATGTGGGTGCTGGGAACTGAACTCAGGTCCTCTGCAAAAGCAGCTAATCCTCTTAACCGCTGAGTCATCTCTCCCGCCCCTCATTGCAGTTACTTCAAAAATGAATTTTTTAAACTGGGTGTGGTGTATGCCTTTAGTCCCAGTGCTCTGGAGGCAGAGACAGGCAGATCTCTGTGAGATGGAGACAGGCCTGATCTACGTAGTAAGCTCCAGGCCAGACCCTGTCTCAGAAACAAAAGACCAAAATAAAAATGGATTTTAATCCATACTTCTTTTACTATGAACATTGTTTTGTTCCTTTTAAGACCAGATCTGGCTATGTGTGTAGGCTGGCCTCTGACTGTCTGTGTAGCCCAGTCTGGCCTCTGACTGTCTGTGTAGCCCAGTCTGGCTTCTAACTTTCTCTGTAGCTCAGGCTGGGTTCTAACTCTCTGTGTAGCTCAGGCTGGCTTCTAACTCTCTATGTCGCTCAGGCTGGGTTCTACCTCGTGGTGATCTTCCTGCCACAGCCTCCTTAGTGCTGGGATTATAGGTATGAGCCACCACACCCAGTTTAGAGTGCCTTTTTTCATTTTAAAAAATTTTTATTAAATATGCTCTTTGACAATAATTTTTTGAGACAGGGTTCACTATGTAGCGCTGGCTGGCCTAGTAGACCAGGCTCGCCTTGAATTCCTGAATGCTAGGATTAAAAGTGTGCTCCACCACACCTGGCTTTTGACAGTTTCATACATGTACGTTCTGGTTACTCTCACCCCTCTCTTCCCTGACTCCCCCCTCTCCCCGCTCCTGTCAACCCCCCCAAGCCCCTTTTTCACATTCATGTCCTTTTATTTTGCGGCCCACTGAGCTTGACCAGGGCCATCTGTGTGGCCATGGGTTTGGGGCTGTCTACTGGAGTCTAACGGGCTCACCTCATAGGCACATCACTGAGAAAAGGACTGTCCCTCCCCCAGAATCCACCAGCCAATGGTTCAGCATGGAGGGGTAGGGCCCTGCTAGCCCCTCTCTGATCCATGATTGATCAATGATAGGCCCAGTCTTGTGCAGGCTGAGGTGGGGCCATGCTTGTATGGCAGTGCCACACCCAGAAGGTGGCATTTTACAACGCTTCGCCCTGTTTTCCGACTCTTAGATTCTCTCCATTCCCTCTCCTTCTGTGTTCCTGGAGCATTAGAGGCGGTGATATAAATATCTTGTTTAAGGCTGAGCCCTCAACCCTTACTCATCTCTGCATTCACCACCATTCAGTGCAAAGTGAAGCTCCTTTGGTTCTTTGTAGCGTTTGTCTATGGGTATAAACATAAATATTCCAAAGGCAGCTTAGGGCCATGTCAATTTAGCTACACACAATGGTAAGAGCCCCACCCCCAGCCCCCAAACTCCTCAGTCACAGGTTTTTGAGTGGGTTTACAGCACTACGGCTTTGAGTGCCTTAACTGACATTTGATCTAGCTTCCTCAGTGTGATAGTTGCTCTGTGTATGTGGGTGCTGGGAACCGAACCTGGGTCCTCTGCAAGAGCAGCCTGTGCTCTTAACCACTGAACCATCTCTCCAGCCCCCACCCCCAATTTTTTTTTTAAAGACAGGCTCTCATGTGGCCCACAGTAGCCTTGAACTCTGTATTGAGGTTGGGTCTGAACTGATCCCGTCTCCACCTCCTGAGTGCTGGTATTACAAGTGTGCGCTACCACACCTGGCTGTAATAAACATAATTTTTTAAAAATCGACTTTTCAGCATATACCATGCTTAGCATGTGTGAAAACCTTAGTTCAGTCACTAGTACTGATAGATAAATACATTTCAACTTTACTTCATTACATATTACGTTCCTCCTTAGAGCCAGAGGGGCCTCAGCAACCTTGAATCTGTTCTTCCTGAATTTATTCACTTACTTTTCAAGTGTCTCTGGAGTCCTTACAAGTGTTTGCAGCCATGTTCTGAGACCCTGGGACTCACTCAGGAAGTGCTTTTGCAAACACAGATGCAGGCTCTGCCTGTGTAACAGTTTCGATTTGAGGGGCCTTTAAAAAACTAAAATCTCATTGTCTGCGTTGAGGACAGGGTCCTTATGGGCTGGGGTGGGGAATGTCTGCGAATAAGCAAAGGGTTTCTTGGTGTAGTACTGAAAAACTGTGGAATTGGGTGGTGGTGGTGACTGAAGAGCTCTGAGTAAGCTACCGTGCACTGAACTATACCCCAGTAACACTATTAACAGCACAGTAAGCTTCGGAGCCTGCCAGGTGATTCTGTCTCTCTGGAACCATGGATCTGTCCAAACTGCACATTTCAGGCTTGAGATGTTCCGAAGGTCACGCTTCCTCCACTTCTTGGAAGGAAACTGGTTTCAGCAGACATGAAGAGAGGAGAAAGTGTGTCCTTGAATAAATAACTGATCATCTCACCAGTAATACTGAGTGAGCCTGAAGTCACGGTCCACTGGCTGAGGTCCATGACTGCAGCTGGGGCGGGTGGTGGGGGGCACCCAACACAGTGACTTGCTCCTCTGTCTTCTGTGGCCAGGCTTTTGAGAGAGATGCCTCCATCCATTGCCCATCCTTCTTGGCCATGCCTTCTCGGGTCCCCTGCAGCCCGGCTTCCTTCCCCATCTTTTGTCTGAAGTTATTGATGTCCTTTTTAAAAAGTTAGTTTCTATCTTGTTGTAGAAAATCGGAAAGCACAAAAAGAAAAGCACTTATTAAATAAAATAATATTTGGTAGTACTTAGGATCATATCACTGAGTAAAAATAGTTAAACCCATGGCTGGATATGGTGGTGCACACCTTTAATCCCAGCACTGGTGGTAGTGGGAGTTGGCAGAGGCAGGTAGATCTCTGTGAGTTCCAGGCCATCACAGGCCATTGCTGTCTACATAGAGAGTTCCAGGAGAATCAGGGCTACACAGTGAGACCCAGCCTCAAAACAAACAAAAACAAAACAAACTCCTAAACCTGCCACTTCCAGATAATGACCATTAGCCTTTTGTTGTAAGTTTTCTAGTCTTTTTTGCTTTGCCATCCTATCTGTTTAAAAAATTTAGCTAGATTTTTTTAAATTAGTTAAAAAGTTAGTATACAATTTTCTGAAAATGAGGGTTTTTTTCTGCAAGTTAACTCGAGATTTTATTTTCTCACTTAGAGCTGTATTGTGGCATCTTTCTCTGTAAATACATATATCTGCATAAATCATCTTTAATGCCTACATAGCATTTGAACTTATGACAGGCTAGTTGTGGTGGTGGCATGCACATCCTAGTACTTGGGAGGCAGAGGTAGCAGTCAGCCTTGGCAATATGTTTAGCTCAAAGCTAGTTTGGGCTCCATGAGACTGTGTCTCAAAACCAAAAGCAAACAAAAAGGAAAATAGGAGTGGTGGTTACGGAGAGGGACAGGGAATGAGAATTTGAATTTTGGATATACTAAATTTCGTCAATTAATTTTTGAACATTTAGTTTCTTTCTGGTTTTCACTATTATAAATACCTATGTAATGAATATCTTTGTGTATTTTGGGGCATCCATAATTATTTCCTTAGGCTGTAATAACAACCTTTTGACTTGGATTGGAACAAAGAACCTTTACTCGATTGTCTTCATCCCTGGACTGAAGGGTCTACAGCTGCCCTCAGTGTCTTCCGTTAGCTTCTGTGACCTGAGCAATCCAGGCCTTTCTCCTACTTGACTGGTCCCACTGCACCCCTTGCCTTTTGAGGGTATACAGTCTCCAAAATGGAGTCTTCAACCCTTTTAGTTTATTTCTTCTTTAAAAAAATTTGGATTTATTTTTATTTTATGGGTATGAGTGTTTTGCCTGCATGTATGTAAGTACACCTGTGTTGTACAATACCCCTGGAGGCCAGAAGAAGGCATTGGATCCCCTGGAACTGGAATTACAGATGGATGGTTGTTAGCTTTTATGTGGGCACTGGGAACTGAACCCAGGTCCTCTAGAAGAGCAGCCAGTGCTCTAACTGCTGAGCCATCTCTCCAGCCTCTAGTTTATTCCTCGAAGGTCTCATTCACCCCTTGAGTCCAGTGGCCATGTCCCTGTATGAATGTCTGCAGTTGGTTCTCTTCTCTGCTGAAGTCCGGTTTCACAATCCCAGTTGCCTCCTGGGTCTTTTCCAGTTAGATGTCTTGTCTCCCAAAGGGCAGGTGCAAAGTTGCTGTTTTGTCTTCACACTCTCTCTACCCTTCCAGTCTCCTAACTGTGCCTCTTAGCATCCTTCTCAAATCTCACTTTAAAATTTCCAAATGATTAATCATCGCTGGGTCCCCAAATCCTGCCACCCTGCATGATCTCTGTTACCTCCTCTCATTCCTAACGCTGTACCCTGAAAGTCAGCCGTTGCTTTTGTTTGCAGCCGTCTCTCTTTTCCTCTGGTCTTCTTCCTTAATGGGGGCACTTTTCATGTTACTCCTTTGCCCTTGTACAAAAACCTTCAATAGCTCCTTATATCCAAGTTTCCTTTATCCTTTTCTGACCTTGGCTCTTTAGACATGCCTAGTGACCAGTCAGTCTGGATAGGCTCCTAGCTCATACTGTTGCCTCTCCATGGAAAGCTG